GGCACAAACAGGTATAGGAAAAAGCCTGCATGGTTAACAAACAGAGTAATGGAGGCTGTAAAAAGTAAAAAGAATTCCTTTAAGCAGTGGAAAGCTAGTCACAGTGAGGCTGATAAAACGGAACACAGGCTATGGCAAATAAAATGCAAGTCTGAGGTCAGGCAGGCAAAAAGGGAATATGAGGAGCATATAGCAAAAAACGTAAAAACCAACAATAAAACTTTCTTCAAATACATTAGAAACAGGAAACCAGCCAGGGAGGCAGTGGGGCCCTTGGACGACCAAGGGGTAAAAGGAGTATTGAAGGATGATAGGGAAATGGCTGAGAAGCTAAATGCATTTTTTGCCTCCGTCTTCACTGTGGAAGATGAGAAGTGCTTGCCCACTCCAGAACCACTGATTTCAGGAGGGGTGTTGGAAGACCTGAGTCAGATTGAGGTGATGAGAGAGGAGGTCCTAAAACTGATAGACAACTTAAAAACTGAAAAATCACCAGGCCCAGATGGCATACATCCGAGAGTTCTGAAAGAACTCAAATGTGAACTTGTAGATCTCCTGACAAAGATATGTAATCTTTCCTTAAAATCTGCCTCCATTCCTGAGGATTGGAAGGTAGCTAATGTCACTCCCATCTTTAAAAAGGGTTCCAGAGGAGATCCGGGAAATTACAGGCCAGTCAGTCTGACGTCGATACCGGGTAAATTGGTGGAAACCATTATTAAGGAAAGAATTAGTAGGCACATAGATGAACAAAACCTATTGAGGCAGACTCAACATGGGTTCTGTAAGGGAAGATCTTGTCTCACTAACCTGTTAGTGTTCTTTGAGGGGGTGAACAAACATGTGGACAAGGGGGATCCAATAGATATTATTTACCTTGACTTCCAGAAAGCTTTTGATAAAGTTCCTCATCAAAGGCTCCTAAGTAAGCTCAAAAATCATGGGATAGAAGGACAAGTCCTTTTATGGATCAAAAACTGGCTAGTTCATAGAAAACAGAGAGTGAGTGTAGGTGGGCAATTTTCTCAGTGGAGGGTGGTAAGCAGTGGGGTACCGCAGGGATCAGTACTTGGTCCACTGCTTTTTAACTTGTTCATTAATGATTTGGAGATGGGAGTAAGCAGTGAAGTGGCTAAATTTGCGGATGATACAAAGTTGTTCGGGGTGGTGAAAACCAGTGAGGATTGTGAGGCACTCCAAGGGGATCTGTCAAGGATGGGCGAGTGGGCGTCAACATGGCAAATGGGGTTCAATGTGGCCAAGTGCAAGGTGATGCACATTGGAGCCAAAAATCCTAAATATAAATACACATTGATGGGGTCTGAACTGGCAGAGACTGATCAAGAGAGAGATCTTGGAGTTGTAGTAGATAACTCACTGAAAATGTCGAGACAGTGTGTGACTGCAATAAAGAAGGCCAATGCTATGCTGGGGATTATTAGGAAGGGTATTGTAAACAGATCAGCCAATATCATAATGCCGCTATATAAATCAATGGTGCGACCTCATTTGGAATACTGTGTGCAGTTCTGGTCACCACACCTTAAAAAGGATATTATAGCTTTGGAAAAAGTGCAGAAAAGGGCAACTCGAATGATAAAAGGGTTGGAACACTTTCCCTATGAGGAAAGGTTAAAGCGCTTAGGGCTCTTTCGCTTGGAGAAACGATAACTGAGGGGAGATATGATTGAGGTTTATAAGATTATGCATGGGAAAGAGCAGGTAGAGAAAGAGGTACTTTTCTCCCTTTCTCACAATACAAGAACTCGTGGGCACTCCATGAAACTGCTGAGCGGTTGGGTTAGAACGGATAAAAGGAAGTACTTCTTCACCCAAAGAGTGATTTAGTACTTCTTCACCCAAAGAGTGATTTAACACATGGAATTCACTGCCACAGGAAGTGGTGGCGGCTACAAGCATGGACGGCTTCAAAAGGGAATTAGATAAGCATATGGAGCAGAGGTCCATCAGTGGCTATTAGCCACAAGGTATAGATAGGGGCTCTGGGGCAAGTGATGCTCTGTCTTCTTGGTCCTTGGGGGAGGTCAATAGTGGGAGGGCTTCTAATGTCCTGGCCCCACTGGTGGACCTCCTGATGGCACCTGGTATTTCTGGCCACTGTGTGACACAGAGTGTTGGACGGGATGGGCCTTTGGCCTGATCCAACATTGGCGTCTCTTATGTTCTTATGTTCTCTTAAAATGATCACTTGAAACAGCCTATTAAGGTGGGACTCTGTTACTAGATAGAAATGTTTACATAATTGTTTTATTATGCCCACTCTCCCATCTTCATTGTTGTTGTTGTTACCATCAAGTCACAGTTGACTTATGGTGACCCTGTAGGGTGTTTAAGGCAAGAAATGTTCAGAGGTGATTTGTGATTGCCTGCCTCTATGTCACAACCCTGGTATTCCTTGGAGGTCTCCCATCCAAATACCAGACAGGGCCGATGCTGCTTAGCTTCTATGATCTGATTAAATCAGGCTAGCCAGGGCTATCCCATCTAGGTATCTGAAAATAATACGGAATATATATATACATACATGTGATTGCCTGCCTCTATGTCACAACCCTGGTATTCCTTGGAGGTCTCCCATCCAAATACCAGACAGGGCCGATGCTGCTTAGCTTCTATGATCTGATTAAATCAGGCTAGCCAGGGCTATCCCATCTAGGTATCTGAAAATAATACGGAATATATATATACATACATGATGTGTGTGTGTGTATACACACACACACATATATACATACACTGAATATCTCTATATATAATAATTCTTTTTTGGTGTGAATGCGCCACATGCTCCCACAGCCTTTGGCTCCCTGAGCTGCCACTCTGAAGGTCTGGCAATCCCCTGGGCTGCATTGCCTCGCTGCGTTGCCTCATCCTTGCCCACAGAACCGGCAGCCAGCGTCTCGCCCTCAGTCTGGAGGGAGGCAACAAAGGGAATGGAAGCTCCCCTGAGAGAGCAGCAACCCCTCCACGGGGGAAAAGGAGGCAGACCTAGCGAGCGGCAGCAAGCAGGGGAAGCACTCACCTTCGCTGCCCCTCTCCCCCGGCTGCAAGGCCGGCGCTTCATCAGGGTGATAGCTCAGCAGGCTGCACTGCAGAGAAGGCTACCCAGCACCTTTCAAAGGCTCCCCCGCCTTCCTTCAGCAGTGGCAGCAGCACCAGGGAGGGTCTGGCCTAGAGAAAACGAGCTGAGGCTCCTGGAAAGCCGGACTCTCTCCTGAGGAAGACTAACTGTCCCCTCAGTGGCTGTTGGTAGGCAACCAAACTTGCTTCTGTCAGTAAAAAAACAAAGGACTTTCAGCATAACCCCCTCCACCCCACTACCAGCTTGGCCACTTTCCTGTCAAAATAAAATTAAAACGGGTCTCTCCTTTTTCGCTCCACCATGGCTGGCTGGCTAATGAGGTGGGCCAGTGACCATCAAACCATTCTCTTCAACCCCCTGCTGCGCGGCTGACTTTCCCCTAGGGTTGCCAATATCCAGGTGGGACCTGGAGATCTCACACTGTTACAATTGATCTCCAGATGACAGAGATCAGTTCCCCTGAAGAAAATGGCTGCTTTGGAGGGTAGACCCTATGGCATTATACCCTGCTGAGTCCTTCCATCCCTGCCCTCCACAGGGTCCACCCCCCAAATCTCCAGGCAACTGTACTTTCTCCTCAGTGCCTGTTGCTAGGCAACCAGGTTCTGTCAGTAAAAGGCCCTTTCCTCACCTATTTTGGCCTTTGGGAGAAAATTCATTGGGGGCAGTCCTGATAGGGTTGCCAACTCCAGGTGGGAAATTCCTGGATATTTGAGGGATAGAGTGAGGTTTGAGGAGGGGTGGGACTTCAGACAGGTACCATACCATAGACTCCACCCTCCAAGTCAGCCATTCCCTCATGGGGAACCATTTTTTGCTAATCTCCAGGTGGGGGCTGGAGATCACTCAGAATTACAACTGCTCTCTAGGAGGGAGGGGGAGAAGATGGAAAGCTGAAGCCAGGGGGCAGATAAAGGTAGGTTGATGGTTGGCTGGGAGGGAGATAAGGTTGCTAACTCCAGGTTGGGAAATCCCTGGAGATTTGAGGGGTGGAGCCTGGAGAGGGTGAGGTTTGAGGAAGGGTGTGACCTCAGACAGGTACAATGCCATAGACTCCACCCTCCAAACCAACCATTCCCTCATTGGGAACCATTGTTGCCAGTCCCCAGGCGAGGGATGGAGATTACGGAGGATTACAACTACTCTTCAGATGGCAGAGATCAGTTCCCCTGGAGAAAATGGTGGACTCTGTGTCATTATACCCTGCTGAAATCGCCACAGCAAATTGACGTTGAGTGCCCAGGGCCGGGGCACTCTCCCAGAGCCTCTTTCTAGAGCTTGTTGTATTTATTTCCACAATGGGCCTTATTCCTAGTATATACATATTCCAGACTTAGCACACACTGTTCCTCAAAGGAAGCAAACAGTATCTTCATAATCATCCAAAGGGTAATGAGATCCATAGGGTTAATTACTCCCTTTAGCACCTGAAAGATTTGTCTTTTGCACATAGGGTTTGGTTTTCCTCATTGCAGGAAATTCAAATAAGGAAAGGTAGGGCATTTGAAAACTGCTGCCTAACCTAACTCATTAGGCTACTGGAGAGAATCACTTTGTACACTGCAGAAGAGTTACAGCAATGCTTATTATGTGGACAGTATCCAAAGCCTGCACAGACACTGGTTAGCTAGATACCCTACAGTCTCAGGGAGACATCACAGAGGCTTCTTCAATAAAGGCAGTGAAAACAGAAGCCATTCATTTCGAGAAGGAACCTGTACCTGGGTGGCTTCTACCACTGCTGCTGAACAATTGTTTAATGCCAACAGGGTCCTAGCCCTTCCTCCATGCCCTAGGCTCATGACACATGCTATATCAAAAGTAGTATTTGTCAGAATTGCCCATTCTACTAACGGTATCCTCTCTCTTAGTCTTCAAGGTGACAGACAAGTTTTACCTCATAACTTTGCCACCAGTTAGGAATGTTTGGTCGCAGCTTCTGATCGCATACAACCTTTCGCATTTCTTCAATGGAGGGGTCCGAGGGCACAAGATCATAGTATGGGAGCTGATATTCTTCATGAATACCTGAAAGGGGGGGGAGCGAGGGGAAAAGGTTGGATTATTATTCCAGTCATTAGCATGTTTCACAAATGCAAAGTTAACATTGTTCATTATATATCCTATGCAGAATATGAAGACTCCTACACAAAAGGGCTCTGGAAATCTGCATCATGTAATATGGGGTCTACCAGGAAAGCTCATAGCTGCTGCCCTGAGATAGTTAGTTTTCAATGGATAGTGCTTTCTACTTTTATATTCAGCATAGATCTCAATTCTTGTCCAGGCCCTCTGCCACCACCCATCTACTACTTCAACTCAACACATTAGTAATTAAATTTCCTCAGTCCATGACAAAGAAAACGAAAGGAAAAACAAATTCTAAAACTGATTTGTCACTGCAACAGCAACATGAGCTTCTTACTCTAGAAGAATTTATGCAACCAAAAGGTTACAGAATTTGTGAGTTTTGATTTAAAAGCTTTATACTTATGGATGAACTTCCAAAAATAGATGGACGTGGTAACAATGAAAATGTCTGCAGAATTTGATTAATATCATCATGTTAATGAACTGGCACGTCCAAGAAAACAGAACAGCTGTTTATACTGGACCCAGAACACAGACTCCAGCACCACCACCACCAAAAAAAAGTACTAGTGGGACTCTGATTAGAATGCTGAGTCACTGGGAACAACAGGATCTTCTGAATCAGCAGGACCACTTCCTTGCAGCATAGTACTCTACCACCTTCATCCTATCTAATGCACCATAGCCCCAAGTCACTTGTTTTTTTAAAAAAAGAACACTGAGGTTTCTATGCATTTGAATGACACTGCTTTGAGCCAACATTTGAAGCCTAAAGAAACCATTTTTAGATCCAAAAAGAAGAAAAAGTAACCCATTACCTCCTGAGTTGCATCTGCGAGCAATTTCCCAGTAGACCAAGCCCAGGGCATAAATATCGGCACATTTAAACGAATCAAAATGCTTCATATTAATAGTTTCATCAAGAACCTCGGGGGCCATGTACCTGAAGCAAATAAGACCAAACACAATTAATTGCTACACAATCTACTATACGGCAAGCATTTCCACATGACCTATTATAGTTAAAGACCTATTACTCCGGCGAAGATGGAGGTCCTGGGTCTGAGTCGGGTTGGTTCGGGGCTCCCTCTCCCGACCTTCGATGGGTCTCTTCTGGTGCCAGCGCCAGTGGCTAGGAGTTTGGGAGTGCTCCTGGACTCCACCTTAACTATGGAGGTCCAGGTGGCGACCACTGCCAAATCGGCCTTCTACCATCTTTGGCTGGCTTGGCAGTTGGTCCCCTTCCTTGACCGCGATGAACTGGCCACAGTGATCCATGCGACGGTCACCTCGAGGCTAGACTACTGTAATGCTCTCTACATGGGGCTGCCTTTGTTGCAAATCCGGAAGCTGCAGCCAGTGCAGAATGCTGCAGCTAGGCTGTGGATGGGCCTTGCTAGGCGGGAGCACATCCAGCCTGCGTTGAAAGCGCTGCACTGGCTGCCAATAGCGTACCGGATTCACTTCAAAGTGCTGGTTCTTACCTTTAAAGCCCTATATGGCCAGGGTCCAACATACCTAAGGAACTGCCTCTCCCCATATGTTCCCCCAAGGGCACTACGGTCAGGGTCTGAACACCTCCTGGTGATGCCAGGCCCCAAAGAGGCCAGGTTTGCTGTAACCAGGGCCAGGGCCTTTTCGGTGGCGGCTCCTACCTGGTGGAATGAGCTCCCGGAGGAGATCCGGGCCCTGTGGGACCTTGTGAAGTTCCACAGGGCCTGTAAGATGGAGCTCTTCCACCAGGTTTTTGAGTAGGATTCCACCAGGCTTTTGAGTAGGAACCGCCACCACCATCACACTACCCCACCACCATACCATCACTACTGTATTACCATCGCCGCACCATTGTTGTTGCACCATCACCACCAATTGGATTAGATAACATCGGGGTTTGTGATGGCCCTGTGACAAGATATTTATAATATCACGTGGAACCATACCACTGAATTGAGTCTAACATTCCCGGGATGCCATGGAATTGGGATTACCATCCCCAGGATACCATCTTGTGATTGAAGATCTTTTGAAACATCTGGAGCACTTTATGCTGTTTTAAATGTTGGTTTTATCTTGTTTTATTGATTAACTATTGGCATATTCTGCCCTATTTGTGTTTTAACTATTGGCACATGTTGCCCTATTTGTGAGCCGCCCTGAGCCCGTTTGTGGGGACGGTGGGCTATAAATTTGAACAAATAAATAAATAAATAAATACTATTAGTGCACCTGAGTACAGTGTAAAAGCCCATTTGCTAGAGATATTGCTTAAGGATCAGCAATGCATGTTCATAACAAAATTCCCATCCAGTTAAAATTAACGTTGGAGGGATGTTCAATATACTTTATATAATAAGCCATCTTTCTGTTTTTGTTTTGTTTTTTAAAAAACAAAACACTCAAGATGCTATGAAGTTATGGATGAAGACAAACGTGACTGGATGGTAAGTGGGTAGAAACAATCAGAACACCAAATTGGTCTCGAGTACTGAAGACAAACAAGGGCCAAGAAGAAAGAGGGGGGAAAAGGATCACATCAATTAAACATTTACAGCAGCTTCCAACTATGGCTCTCTTAGTTCACCACACAAGGCTAAGAATATCAAGCCCTACTTCATTTGACAGGTCCCATCAGTTCCTTACCGCTTTGTGCCAACTCTCTGATTAGGTGCGATGTCAATTGTGTCAGTAACAGAGTCATGGCGGACAGCCAAACCCAGGTCTGCAATAGCACAAGTTCCATTCTTCTTCACTAGTATATTCTTGGATTTCAAGTCCCGGTGCGCAATCCCAGGTTTTCCTAACAAAGCAAGATTCCACAATAGCCCTTCCTTGCATCAATCAATCAACATTTACTTAATATAAGGGAGGGGGGGAGAAGGAAGCAGCCCCAAAACTGCCACAAAGCTCTGTCAGTTTTAACCTGCAATGTATACAGTATATCAAGGTTGATAATCCTGAAGGAAACACAGAAATCACTTCTCAGACTCATTGCATATACTTTAGCAAGGGTGCCAGCTGAAGGAGCTTGCTACTGACAGCAGATTCTGGTTATGACAGGCATTCACAGCACATACTATCTGTAGATAGTTAATCCTAAATTCTCTCATGCATCCAGCTTTGGCCTAAATTCTACTTGTCTTATTGTCAACTTCCTTGCACTTCCTTTTTGCTTAAATCTTTGGAAGGAATTATTTCATCTTCCTCAGGTGAAGAAGACTGTCTTTCATCACAGGAGCCTTTCTCACTGTCTAGCTCACCACCACAGAATTTGCATCCGGAACCATCTGCTTCTTACCTTGAGTCCCCATAATTTCCATGTGCAGATGTGCCAGTCCACTGGCAGCAGACAAAGCCAATTTAATCATCCCCTCAATAGTTACAGCATATCGATTAAGGTAATCGAACAGAGATCCATGCTCATGGTAATCAGAGACCAACCACAGCTGAGTCCAAGTGCCATTATCTGTTGGCAAGACAAACGGGGGAAGGGTGCACGTGTTTAAAAGCAGTACAACTACTTTTACTCCAGAATTCATTTCAAGACAGAAGAAGGTGTAAGCAGCAAAATCAGTATACACACAAAAATGTACTAACAGCTCCTGATTTTGTAATGCCATTTACTGTAGACAGCGTGACTACTTCAAGTACATTCTGTTTACGACTCCCTGAAGTTTATGGAGGAGGAACTTTATGGAGCTCTGGCACTGGTAACTGAATACTCCAGGAAAGAAACAATTGCCCCATCACATCTGTTGACAATATATTTCAGAGCCATGAATCAAACTTTTGTTCATAGGAATTTCAGGATACAGTGTGGCAAAGATAGGCAAGGGGTAGTCTCAGCACACTGCTACCAATGGAACTTTGAAAACTGCTGCTAGTGGTACTAGGGTCCTTCGCAGAGTTTGTTTCCAGTCCCACCTTTTTCATGGCCCTTCCTTCATTCATCTCTTTGTGCCTTCCCAGATCATTGTTTCCTCAAATCTCCACTTGTCTTTCACTGCCAGAGCTAATGTGAGTCATATCCAAATTGGTTGGTTAGCAAAGACCATCTGTGGACATTTTATTTAATTTTTGGGAGGCAGAAAAGGGCAACACACTGGAGATGTCCCATCAACACAGCCAACAGGCATGAGAGGCTTTGTCATGTGTTTCTAACACAATTTTGAAAATAATAACAACAACATTCCTTTAATCACGTCACCCATCATACACATTTTAAGCTTCAAAGACACCTGTAATGGTTGTTTTCTGGAACATGAAGGCAGCACAATACCTTTATTGTCCGCAGCAATAAAACCTAGAATGTTCTCATGGCGTAACATAACGGTCTGGTAGATCTCCGCTTCCCTGAACCAGGATCGCTCTTCCCGCGAAGAGAAGATCTTCACAGCTACATCACCACCACGCCACCTACCACGCCACACTTCCCCGAAACGACCTTTGCCAATGATTTCCTGTAGGACTATTGTTCGAGCCACAGTGCGTTGGACAAAGAGTGGCAAACCTAAAAGCAAAATAAAAGAGGTCAAAAATGTAATAAGACAGACAGATCAGTTTAAACAGCATCACAGAGAATCGACTATCCTTGACTTCTTCTTGCTCAAGAATCTAAATTATAAGTTTTCCTAGGCTTAAGGGCCAATATTGCAAAGTGCTGTGTAGGAACCCATTTCTACAAAAACAGGAGCGCAGAGCCACCAACTACTTGATCACAGGAGCAGCCCAACAATTGTGGCCAGTTGCGAATGCTTAGACCTGTATCTACATCATTTGTGCAGGAAACTACAGCACTCAGAGCCACCGACAACTTGATCACAGGAACAGCCCAACAACTGTGGACAGTTGCGAATGCTTAGACCTACATCATTTGTGCAGGAAACTACAGCAGAAACAGAAAATGCTGAAGTGGGTAAGAACATAAGATATCAGACCAATGGTCCACCTAGTCCAGCATCCTGTCTCGCACAATGGCCAGCCAGTTCCTCTGGAGGGCCAACAACAGGGCACAGAGGCTGAGACCTTCCCCCGATGTTGCCTCCTGGCTCTGGGATTCAGAGGTTTAGTGCCTCTAAATGTGGAGGTTCCCCTCAGTCACCATGGCTAGCAGACACTGATAGACCTATCCTCCATGAATCTGTCTAATTCCCCCAGAAAGCTATTTATTCCTGTGGCCATCACTACATCCTCTGGCAGTGAATTCCATATTTTAATCACTCTCTGTGTAAAGAGGTATTTCCTTTTGTCTGTCCTGAATCTACCACCCATCAGCTCCATTGGATGCCCAAGAGTTCTAGTATTTGGGGAGAGGGAGAACATTTTCTTTGTCAACTCTCTTCACCCCATGCATAATTTTATAAACTTCTATCATTTCCCCCCCTTAGTTGTCGCTTTTCTAAACTGAAAAGCCCCAGACTCTTCAGCCTTTCCTCATAGGGAAGGCGCTCCAGCCCCACTATCATCTGGGTTGCCCTCCTCTGCACTTTTTCCTAGCTCTGCAATGTCCTTTTTGAGATACGGTTATCAGAACTGTACAGTATTCCAAATGAAGCCGCACTGTAGATCTATACAGGGACATTATAATACCATCCATTTTATTTTCAATCCCTTTCCTAATAATCCCTAACAATGAGTTGGCCCTTTTCACTGCTGCAGCACTCTGGTTGACGTTTTCATTGAGCTATCCACTAGGACCCTGAGATCTTTTCCCCTCTAAGTCTCAGCAAGTTCAGAACCCATTATCCTATAGCTGAAGACTCAGGGGTCTTTTTGTAGAAAAAGAGTGGCAGGAGCTCATTAGCATAACTCATTAGCATATGCCACACCCCCTGACATCACCGGAAGTGTGTCATAAGGCCACACCCCCTGACATAAGCCTTCTG